AAGTCACCCAGCTGGCTTTCACGCCTAAAGCAGGACTAGCTTTAATCAAATTTTGACAATCTCTGTATAAAATTCTTGTTTCCAGAAAATGCTTTATGGAGCCAACGTGATTATATTCGAAGGTATTATGGCATTTGCTGATAAGGACCTCCTGAAAGTAAGTAAGACTGGATTTTCCCTTCTTCCTCCTCCTCTTCCTCCTCCTCCTCTTCCTTCCTTCTTTCTTTTTCTTTGTCTTTTTCTTTCTCTCTTCCTCTCTTTCTTTTTCTCTCTCTCTCTCTTTCTCCCCTTCTCCTTCCCATCCACTTCCTTCTTGCATGGTTCTAATGGTCAATATTTTTTTTTAGATTTATATTTCCCTCTCCCTTTCAGCAGGTCTAGACAGCTCATCTAGCGCTCCCTCTTCCTGTTTCCCCCAATAACAACGACCTTGTGGGATTGGTGCATCTGGAGGGGTGTGGGGGAGGGACTGGCCCAAAGTGACTGTCCCAGGAATTCTGTGGCTGACGGGAGGGGAGCAGAGTCCACTTCTAATCCAACCCTCTTCCCCCCAAACCTCCTGGCACTGTCCTAAAACAGTGTCTTTCAACCTTGGCACTTTTAACATGCCTGTTCTGACCAAGGCTTCCGAGACCATAATTGCGCATAAGCTTATTTTAAAAACAAGTCTTATTTTATTGCAGCGCTGGGAATTGTTTTCATTCCCAGCCGGTAATTAATCTCAAACAGTCCCTCGAGATAAGCATCCACCTTTCTTTCCTGGGAAGTGTTCAATGAACTAGAAAAAAAAAACAACCAACCGAAATACAGAGAGCTTCAAGAATGAATCTGAACTGAACGAACGACTTTGCTTCCTGCAAAGGTTTCTCTACATTTGCCTGTCCTTTATACCTGAGGGGAGGGGCAATCACCTCCCAGCCTTACTCCCGAGTTGCCCCTTCTGCTTCAGCTGCTCTTGCCTTCTAGCAGCTCTGTGCAGACACACACTGGGAACAGGCTCCCTTTGTTCCTCTGCCTCGCTGCTGCCAGACTCTGGAGGCTCTGGAGTCAGCACACAACTCCCAGATGGTCCAGGCCCTATCTCTGCATCGGTCGCAGGACCCTTGTCCGAGTCCTCTTCAGACTCCCCATTCTTCCCCACTGTCCGATTCCGCTGCTGTCTGCACAGGCTGCCGGCGAACCGCAACAATGCCCAGACTTCAACTCCCAGAATTCCCTGGCCAACTGTGAATTCTGGGAATTGAAGTCCATGTTAAAGTTGCCGAGGTTGAAAGACACTGCTCTAGATGTAGTGATGGTGAGCCTTTTCGGCGCCAAGCGCTGAAAAGGTTGCACGGAAACGTCGCGCATGCAAGCATTTGTCAAGGCCACACTCCGAACTTCCCTGTTCCAGCGCACATGCACACCTGACCTTCAGCTGGCCGGCGATCGCACGCAGGCCGGTTTTTGGCACTGCCGCGCACGCGAAGCGATTGCACTCTGGAAAAGTTGAACTTCCAGCTTCTGGCGCGCATGTGCACCTGACATTCACCCGGGCGGCACACATACACAGGCCGGTTTTCGGCACTGCCACCCGCATGAAGGACAGCGGATCGTCATGCACACATGCACACCAGAAACCCGGAAGACAAACGGGCAAGGCTGCGCGTGCCAGGCGACATGGCTTCGCATGCCACTTTCGCGTGCCATAGGTTCGCCATCACACGGCTCTGGAAGGATCTGTTTTGGACCCAAATGTCACTTTTTTTTTTTTCCCCCTCTGCAGCTTCTGGATATGAAAATATTTGTGGACACTGATTCGGATATCCGTCTGGTTCGACGTCTGCGCAGGGACATCAGTGAGCGAGGCCGAGAGATTGACGGGGTCATCAAGCAATACAACAAGTTTGTCAAGCCGGCCTTTGACCAGTATATCCAGCCCACCATGCGACTAGCTGACATTGTGGTCCCGCGAGGTAGGCCTCTTTCTATTGGCCACTGGCTGGCCCGGCTGGATTCCTGACCCTGGGGATCCCTTTGCCAGATCTCTTGCTCAAATTGGCCTGATTTTTTCTGTTTCTGAAAGTGTTTGGGATCCAGTTAGAGCCAGCTTGCAAAAAAAATAAAAAATACTTGAAAGGATTTGGTCTCTGGGACCTTAAGGTAGAGTGCCACTGAATCTGGAGGCTTTTATTGTGCTGACAGCTGCCAACGGACCACTCCAGCCTGCCCTGCAATTTGCAAATTAGCCTTGCCATAATTTCAGGGATGTAATTTTTTAAAAAAAAAATTATTTCTACATCAAATCAAATTATATTAAACGAAGCTTGGAAGGGCTTTCTATCCATTTTCTTCTCTTGCTTCCAATAGAAGCGAATTTTTACTTCCTAAAGGTTTGCATTCATATATTTGCCAAATACATTGTGATGTTGTGAAAATGTTGTGAAAATGTTGGAATGTGCAGAAATGAGTAGATTAACATCAGCAATTAAAGAAAAAAGAAGAAGCAGAATATTATATGATATGGGATTTATTTTATAAATGGTTGGAAAATAAAGAAGTTAAATGGTAATGTTATAATGATAAGATATATATGGTTGAGTAGGTTGTAACATGAAGTAATCTTAGTAAAAAAATCTATACAAAATATAAACATATGTACCCAGTTGACATACGGTATAACTGAAAGATGGATTTGTTTTAAAATTTAAAAAAATTAATATATATATATATATATATAAAGAAAGAAAAGTACAACTCTTAATTTTTGTCTTGCATGGGGATCTGTAGGCTGCTTGCGCCCTCTAGGGGTTTTCCCAGGTCATTACAGGAATTAAACTGACATTCATTTCTCTGAGTTTGGTTGCTTTCTTGCAGACGTTTCATTACCTAACTAGGTAGTGTCTTCAGGGCTATTAGGGAGTGGGGTTTGGTCTCAACCAAGAGCATCAAGGACCCCTCCTTCCAACCCTGAGCTACAAATCTTCTCCTTCATCCGTGACATTAACTCTTTCTCTCTCTTATTTTTCTTTAAGGTAGTGGAAATACCGTTGCTATCGACTTGATCGTCCAGCATGTGCATAGCCAGCTAGAAGAGGTGAGATCTGATGGATGTTTAAGGAAGATCCTGCATTGGGTGGTGTCAGGTTTTGCTCTTTGCTCTGAAGCCCTGGTGGAGCAATGGTTAGAAGGCAGTATTGCAGGTTAATTCTGCCCGCTGCCAGCAGTTCAATTCTGACCAGCTCAAGGTCGACTCAGCCTTCCATCCTTTCGAGGTCGGTAAAATGAGGACCCAGATTGTTGGGGGGCAATGTGCTGACTCTGTAAACCGCTTAGAGAGGGCTGTAAAGCACTGTGAAGCGGTGTATAAGTCTAAGCGCTATTGCTATTGGGTTGGCCACCTTGATGCAAAGTTCAGGATCTATTCCAAACTTTATTATTCTGTTTTCTGTCTCGCTTAGCAACACCAATTTTGGGCTCGGTTGTGGTCATAAATTGAGGATTATCCATTTCTAAGATTTTAGGGGGATCAAAATTGCCCTACACTTTTACTGGAGACTCCCTATTTGGGGCCAGACAATTTAAGAGCTCCAGGGAAAATTGGAAGAATTCTATTAGACAACATTTATTGATGAGACAAATTTATATGGCTGCCCAGCTCACACACGGGTGAGTCCAGATGGTTTACAACGTTAAAAATCCACAAACTGAGCAACATGGTAGATGCAGTACAATGCAGCGAGACATACGGAGATCTATACCTTGGGGAAACAAAAACAGCCACTTCGTAAACGCATGGCACAACATAGGAGAACAAACCCACCAGGCCTAGATTTAGCAGTCCATCTGCTTTTAAAAGACACAGGCCACTTTTTGGAAGACAGCAAAGTCCATGTTGTGGACAGAGAGGAACACTGGTTTGGAAGAGGAGTTAAAGAGGCCATCTATGTCAAAATTGAACAGGCCTCCCTCAACAGCTCTTGATAACTCTTGGTCTAGTCTTAAGGTTCTAGGCTAGAAAGCCGAAGACTGCAAGTTCTAGTCCCACTTTAGGAATGAAAGCCCGTTGGGTGACTTTGGGCCAATCACAGGAGCCTGTGAATTCTAGTCCTGCCTTAGGTGCAAAAGCTGACTGAGTTACTTTGGGCCAATCACCAGGAGACTGTGAGTTCTAGTTCCGCCTTAGGTATGAAAGCAGGCTGAGTGATTTTGGGCCAGTCACCAGGAGTTTTAGTTCTCCTTAGACCTGTGAGCTGCCAAGGTGACTTTGGGCCAATCCCCAGGAGAAAGTGAGTTCTAGTCACCCCTTAGGCATGAAAGCTTGCTGGGTGACTTTTGGCCAATCACAGGAGATGTTTCCATCTCCTGTGATTGGCCAAAAGTCACCCAGCAGGCTTTCTAAGGAGTTCTAGTCCCACCTTAGACGAATTTTAGTCCCACTTTAGGTGTGCAAACAACTAGGTGACTTTGTACCAATCATCAGGAGTCTGTGAGTTCTAGTCCCACCTTAGACATGAAAGCCAACTGGGTGACTTTGAGTCAATCACCAGGAGACGGTGAGTTCTAGTCTCTCCTTAGACCCCAAACCTGTCTGAGTCACTTTGGGCCAGTCTCTCTCAGCCCAACTCACCTCACCGAGTTTTTGTTAGGAGGAAATTTGAAGGAGGACGGTACGTTGGATATGTTCACCACCTTGAGTTACTTGTTAAAAAAATAATAACAATAAAGGCAGGATACAAACAAACAAAGAAATGACAAATATTTGAAACCACCACTGAACCAAATCGTTCCATAAATTCGTTCTGAGCAAAACTGAAACTGCGAATCCTCTAAGAAAAAAGACTAAAACATGAACTTTGCAGGGCAGTGAATAGAATAGAATTCTTTATTGGCCAAGTGTGATTGGACGCATAAAGAATTTGTCTTTGGTGCAAATGCTCTCAGTGTACATAAAAGAAAAGATACATTTGTCAAGAGTCAAGAATCATCAAGTGCAACACTTAATAATAGTCATAGGGTACAAATAGGCAATCAAATCATACTAGGAAACTGTCAGTATAAATCATAAGGATACAAGCGACAAGGTTACAGTCATATAGTCATAGATGGATGAATATGGAAGGTCTATTCTTGTTTTGTTTTGATTTTTTTAATTAATTTCCTCCCCGGCTTCCTGTTTCCCTGCTGGTATTTTAATAACTGATTTTGCTGTCTGTGTTGTGTTGTTCCTGCAGCGTGAACTCAGCGTCAGGTAAGGATGGGTGCCTGTTTATTCCCTTGCCTTGACTCCTTCCTCCTGCATCACCCCTCAGAGGCATTTGAAGCAGGACAGAGGCCAGCTCAATTTGCTCCTGGGTGCCAAAATCTGGCAAACTGTATAACAAGAAATATTTCTCTTACATATTTGAGGATTAAAATGTCCTCAAATCGTGGGTCCATGTTGGCCTTTTAAATTTTTTTTAAAAAAACTCTTTTAGTTTTAAATTCAACTTATTTGGTCTTTGCCTTGTTATCTTAGGGCAGGAGTGGGATTTGGGACATCTCTGAACTACACAGAATCTTAGCTAGGGGCCCTCCCGAACCCCTGTGAACCCCCAGCAGCCCACCCCTGCCTATAGGCCAGCGGGGGGGGGGACGGTCCTCCAAAATTTGGGGGTCCCTCAACTCTGGCTTAAGAATTCTGGGAGTTGAAGTCCACAGATCTTGCTCTGAGTCTACAAACCCCCCTGGCATATTTGGGTCTGGGAGGGGGTGTGTAGACTTCTCATTGACATCCTGTGGTCCAGGTGGGTGACATAGCCGGCCTGGAAACTGGAACAAGGACCAGATGATGAACAGGATGGGAGACCACTAGGAAATGCAAAGTTTTTAAGATGTGCAGATTGAGGAAAATATACCCGGGAAGAAGATCCTCGACTTAAAACCACAATTGTGCTCAAAATTTCCATTTGAGCTAAGCAGATAATCAGATAATCAGAGTTGGAAGGGACCTTATAGGTCATCTGGTCCAACCCCCTGCCCAAGCAGGAGACCCTACACCATTTCTGACAGATGGCAATTCAATCTCTTCTTGAAAGTCTTAAGTGATGAAGCTCCCACAACTTCTGAGGGCAACTTCTGTTCCATTGGTTGATTGTTCTCTCTGTCAGAAAGTTTCTCCTTATTTCCAGGTTGAATCTCTCTTTGTTCAGTTTCCATCCATTATTCCTTGTCTGGCCTTCAGGTGCTTTGGAGAATAGCTTGACCCCCTCCTCCTCTCTGTGGCAGCCCCTCAAATATTGGAAGACCACTGTCACGTCTCCCCTGGTCCTTCTCTTCACTAGACTAGCCAAGCCCAGTTCCTGTAACCGTTCTTCATATGTTTTAGCCTCCAGTCCCCTAATCATCCTGGTTGCTCTTCTCTGTACTTTTTCTAGAGTCTCAACATCTTTTTTGTAATGTGGTGACCAAAACTGGATGCAGTACTCTAGGTGTGGTCTTACTAAGGCTTTATAGAGTGATATTAGTACTTCCCTTGATCTTGATTGTATCCCTCTGTTAATGCAACTTAGGATTGCATTGGCTTTTTTAGCTGCTGCTGCACACGGCTGGCTCCTATTTAGCTGGTTGTGCACTAAGACACTGAGACACTAAGCAAGACAGTTGTTAACGGAGTTGTGCCCCCTTGTTGAGTGAATCACCGCGGTTTTTAAGTTAAGTCACCCGGTTGTGAAGTGAATTCGCCTTCCCCATGGACTTTGCTTGTCAGGAGGAGGTCACGAAAGATCCTCAGATGACTTTGGGACACAGAAATGGTCATAAAAAGTGTGAGTCAGTTGCCAAGCATCTCAATTTTGATCATGGGGCCCTGGAGATGCTGCCATGGTTGTACAGTGTGAAAAACAGAAGTTCCTTTTTCAGTGCCGTCGTTAACTTCAAGCGGTCACTAAATGAACAGCTGTAAGTCAAAAGGCTGCCGGTAGTTAAACACAGGAATTGTACTCTGTTCATCCTGGCTGACCCCCACCT